CCCAATCTACATGAATGAAGTGACATATTCTGTCAAATTGGCATTCAACGAGGTTCAATTGCGACTCACCCGTCCTGGAAGTTAATATCAAAGTTCCCTTCCTCAAAGATCTCCTGGATCATGTCTACATTATCCTCTCTAGCAGCTGCTAAGAGTCGTTGATCTATAAAGCATGTCGGAGTATGATATCAAAAGTGGAACTTTTGAGCAAAGTCTAGACGATAATTGTCTCGTTTTCTTAAAAATATAACGCACTATTGCTTGCACCCTTTGTACTTTCTGCTTCTGTCATGATTATTGGACGTTACAATTGTTTGAGGAGATAAAGATGAAAGGAGATGGTTGCTTCGAAGGAATAGCCTTGATCATTACCCATTAAGGACCGGAACAGGCGCCCGCGAGAGCACCTCTAATTTGCCAATAAAATTGTCAAACAAACCCGAGGAAGAGACTACAATATTGCTGATTCTAAGCAGTCACTAGTCACTATTCAAAATCTTTCATTGAGCTGAATGGGAGGGATAGATGTCATACGCAAGGGACGATGACAGAGGTGCCAATCTGCAGCTGAAAACCAAAGACAACGACAAGGCCCTCAGTCTTTACATTCAACATCCTCACCAAAGCAGCACGGAACAGCGAACAATGAATGAATTTCAGTCAGATATTTTCGCCATCGCTGCCCCAACTTCTATAGCTTGTATTCATTATGGACTTGCCCCAAAAGATAAGGAATAGTCTAACAATTTGAGGAATCCATCGACAGTTCGCATTAAGCTGTTATTTGGTGAGATATTACATGAAGATATTGAAGACCCTCCGTCCTCGCCATCCACGAATGATAGAAATGCAATATTCTTGATAAAACGAGCACTGACAGATAAAAGTATGTTGAGGTTCACCATTGGGATAATATGGAATAAAAGACTCACCAATGCTCAGCCACTACAATGACCCTCTTTTACGAAGAGAAAAGCTCCTCACGAGTGCTGATACCTAAGTCAAACAGACGCGACGATCAGCACGTCCTCTTTGAGAAGATGAAAAATAAAGTTGACTCACCAAGCTCCTCACGAACAGGCTTGAGCTCATCCAAGTAAGCTTGGTATTGTTGCTTATTCTCTACCTTCTCCTTGATACCCTCGAAAATTCGGACGGCAGTCGAGTAATCGTTGACGCGACGGGTTGCACGGAGAGCAGCCTCAACGACGGCGGGTGAAGGGACAAGATCGTGGGCGAAGCAGTTGTTCAAACCACGTTGAACCTCGAAGAGATCCTCTGCGGACTTGAAGAAGGAGACATATCGCTCGTTGAAAGACTCGTAGGTCTCCTGTCCGTGTGCACTAGAAGAGTTACGTGCAAAGACGGGGGTGACCCTGATTGCTGCTGGGCGAGCACGAAGGAGAGTTGAGATCATTTGAGTGCGCATATCGAATTTTCTTTTCTGCTCGACGGAGGAGAACGAGGATGAAAGGTGAAGGAGAGGTGGAAGGCGTTGATATGAACTCCTGCTCGTCGTCCCACAGCCGATGCCGGTCTATTCCGCGCTCGGTCCAGTCCAGCTCGAGACAAAACTGCCATCACTGCCACTAACATATCTCACTCATGTTCAAAACATGCAATAAACTCTTTGTTGGATCTACGACAAAGAAAATACGAGAAATGCATCTTATTTCAACGAGCTTTTGTTTTTTCAATGCGACTCATTCGTGGATACAAATTTTGAGTAAGGCCGTGTATTGAAGCGCCGAAGACTCTTCATTCTGAAATAGACGCCACGACATCTTTCCCAAACTCTCACCAACAACACCACCAACGAACTCAACGCAAAAGCCGACACTCACTCACTATTTGTCGACAATGGATGACGGTACGTCTTCAGCATCAGCTACGACTACGACTACGACAGCGACGACCGTGCGGACGACGACGATGTCTATGCCTCGCCATCCTTCCGACACTTTTCAGTACTCTTAGCTTAACCTTGCTCTTCGTTGCGCTTTGCAGCTTCAGCCTACAGTTGACCAGCTCCTTCTGAGTCGACGTTATTTTTCAACTTTCTCTGCCTGTGTCCACTGTTGGCTGAAGGCCAGTATCCGTCAAGGCTTCGTGGGCACTAACAAACGCTTTACTGTCGTTGATATTCTCACTCAGTGACGTTCCCATTCATTTCCGTCTCTGTTATTGACGCTTTCTTCTGCCCCCTTTTCGTTCTTCCTTGATCTCGCTGTGAGAGTTGGTAGTCGGTTCGTTTTGTCGACTTTGGCCGTGCCTCCTCTTCAACTTCTCCGCCGAAACTCTTTCACCATGACACGACCCTGACATATACCACCTATTTATACTCCCACTTCACCAGCTTGGCAATCTCAAGATATGGGTGCTTCCACTAACGGTGGTGCAATCAGCATCCCCACACATGAACCCTCATTAGCAAACGGCGGCACACAAGACGAAGCATGGACTAATGGCGGTAACCGTTCACCTGGTCGCTCACAAGGTGGTGGCCCAGCTGGTGATGCTCCTCGACGCTCCAGCAGGAGTCGAAGCCCTGGAGCGAGGGAGCGTGAAGGAGGGTACGGAATCATATCTTTCCACTCCCGCCTTACGTGACTGATTGATGTGCACAGTCGTGAACCTGCTGCCAACAACCCAGGCAATAACTTACATGTTTCTGGCCTCAGTCACCGTGTTGACACCCGCGAACTTGAGGCTGCATTTGGTAAGATTGGCCGGGTAGGTATTTTTCATTTCATGGTTACTTGCCTGAGGCTCACATCTAGTTATACAGGTTAAGAAAGCCCAGGTTATGTACGACCCTCATACGCGTGAGTCGCGCGGATTTGGCTTCGTTACAATGGAAACCGCAGAAGAGGCAGATGCTGCCATCACTGCATTGAACGGTACTGACCTTATGGGCAAGAATATGACAGTTGAAAAGGTACGTTTCAATGCACTCGTGTTATCTGTTCACTAATGAATTGCCTGCAGGCTCGCCGTGGACGTGCAAGGACCCCAACCCCTGGACGATACTATGGACCCCCCAAGCGAAATGACCGTGAGTTGGAGCATAATTTGCAAATGCTTCTATGCTTGTTTTTAACGTTGCTTCCTAAGATGAACGCCCATATGACCCTCGGCCATACGACAGCCGATACTCAGGAGGAGGTCGTGGTGGCGGCAGTGGCGGAGGTTACGGCGGATACGACGACTCCAGAAGCCGCAGACCACGCTACGATGATGACTACCGAGGAGGTAGCGGCGGTGGACGCGACTACGACCGTTATGACCGCTATGACCGCTACAGGGATTACGATAGAGGCTACGAACGTGGCGGTGGAGGCGGTTATGACCGTAGAGGAGGATATGATGACAGACGTTACTAAATATCTGTCTTGTTTAATCCTCATCCAGGCGACACTAGTTTGCTTGTCTCCAGTGTGAGTACTGACGTGAAATTCGAACTTCAGCAAGTCAAAGCGAATCTCTTGTGACACGGACTGCGATCTTGGTAGTAGTTGTAGGTAATTAATTGTCGATACATCCTTGGTCATTCGTTGTTTTATTTTTTATTTTTCTTATACTTACTTGCTGTATGGTTTCGTCGGTTTTATGGCATGTCGTCCAACTATCGTATGCTTGGTTCATGTGGAGGTGTTACTGTTATGTCACATGTCACCAATGGACTCCAAGTTGCCTTTGAACCATCAGCTTGAAGAGCTCAATCTTCTCAAATGTTCGCTCCTTGAAGGGGAATCTCTGACTTTTATACCTCCATATGATCCAGATGCTGAATCGTGGAAATTATTATTGGATTCTTACGCAGAGGGAACACTCGCAGGGAAATCTCTACCTTCAACTCCTGCTCGTTTCCAAGTCAAAAGCTCAAGTTCACGGATATGGTTTGAGGTTGAACTTCCGCTAGATTATGCCAGTGGGTCGTCAGCAGCAACCCCGCTGCAGTCAATGATCTCCGTTCGTGGCGACGAGATTACTCGCAGCGAACAGGAACATTGGCAAAAATTCATCAACGAATGTACCTCGGAACTATCTGAGAGTGAGTACGTTTGTTGGATTTATCTTCCAAAATCTTTTCGTATTGTGCTTATTGATGTTTTTCTGCCCTCCTTCCGGATAGATATCCAATATATGAGCTGATATCCACTCATCTGTTATCACGTTTGCATGATACCGTCAATGCAGAAAACTCATCGACCGTCGAGGCAGAAGCCCACAACTCGTCTTCTACAGACATCTCCGCACGGACTCCGATACGATACCATGCTCTCCTTACATCACATCATCTCATCTCTCCCACAAAACGACGCAACCTACAATCATGGTCTTCCGAACTATCAATCACCGGTTTCGCCAAAGTAGGTTACCCAGGTGTCATCTATTGCGAAGGTGAACAATCTCAAGTTGAAGAGTTCGTTGGAAACGTCAAAGCTATGCAATGGTTAGCCTTGAGGGTGAGGTTTGTTGAACCAGTACCCTGTGAAGGGGTAAACGAAGGTTTAGGGATGGAAACCAACGAGGGAAGCTCGAAGAAGCGATGGGTCGAGTTTGAGAAAGTTGGCGAGGTAGTTCAAGAAATGAGAAGATTAGGAAGGGAGAATTACGTTGTTGAGATGGGAATTGGAAGTGCTTGGACTGCAAGTGGGAATACTTGAGGGATTCGAAGAATCATGTACTTCTTCCTGACACGATTGCAGGTAACTTGTGACCTCCGAGCGTTTGAATTGTCCTCTTTCTGAGGCTCCGAGTCCTTCATTGATAAGACCGTCTACTCTCATGACTAGAATTTCTGCTCCAGAGTAATGGACGGCATGGCTTTCTTTACTTCCTCACGGACGTTGACGAACGGGGAACCCAATATAACTTTGTATCCCGAAGCTGAAAAATCCACCCGAATTCTGTACAGACAATTGTTTTCATGTAAAGTACACAGGCATCGGAAGTCTGTTTTGGGTTTTGGTGTGTGGGAGGTAAGAACAAAAATATGCTCGGAGTGAGGATCGAACTCACGACCTCAGGATTACGCGTTGTCAAACAACGCTCATAGGAAACTATGAGACCTGCGCTCTAACCAGCTGAGCCATCCAAGCAGTGTAAATGTAATGCACATGATCTATCATCTATGATTGATACTCATGTTTTCATACTTATTTCCTGCAGAATGACAATTCAGATGATCTTTGATTACATTTTGAATCAATATGGATTCAACCTAGATTGAGGAAGGAATCCAGAAATATGACTTTATCATGTGATCGGATGTTTGGTAGCAACGTGTAGGAGGCCTCTTCATTAGGATCTTATGGTATTTTAGCGCTCAAGTTCAACATGGTTAACTTCAGTCATTTCAGTCTTGAATCAGCTTTCGGCTGCTTTCTTGCAACACCCAACTTTCGAAGGGGGCTCAGAAAACCGTAGGGTTTTTTTGGGCTGCAAGTTTGGTCTATGTATCATTTTCATCGAATTTATCTATATTCATCTTGTACCCTCGGAGGCTGAATAGTGTTTTCCCATAGACATTTATCACCGCTTGATTCACATCATCATGTATCAACAACTGTGGAATTCAGTGTGAGTATATATGTGTTCAAAATTAGAATAAGATTCTGACCAATGAATGCACATTACAGCGGCCTTCGTTTCGTTGGATTGTATGCGTCTATCTAACTTGAACTCGTTTCATCATCCTATCCGACTTTGATACACCATCATGCACCACTGTTGGCTCAGATACCTTGCAGCACTAGTCTCACTTGTAGGTACAGCTCAAACGGCGATAGGGACAGGCATTTCTGCTCCATTTATAGTGCAAGATCAACCAGCAGCCTCAAGCTTCGCCAATGTATTAGCACCATCTATGTCCGGGGGCTTTCTGTATCAGACAAATGTAGTTCGAGATGGTGTGGATTGTAAGTGCCTGGAATGTCTCGAACGAAGACAGACACAGATGAAAACCTCTTATTTATAGTCGAAATCGTATCGCATTCGTCATTTCCTGATTACCAACTTCGACTTACCCAATCCTCCTTGTGCGACGCGACGGTGAAGCAACGATCCGGGTTCTTGGATATATCCCCAAGTAGAAGCCTATTCTTTTGGTAATTTCATATCTATCACTAGCTTGAATGCAGAACGTAAACTCTCTTTAACGGCGGGGTCAATTCAGGTTTTTTGAATCTCGTAATGACCCAGGGAATGCACCTCTGATGCTTTGGCTCAACGGTGGTCCTGGATGTAGCTCCATTGCCAGTGGTCTCCTCTTCGAACACGGCCCTTGTTTCATCGCAGATGAGGGTAACAGTACCATTCGCAACAGCCACTCTTGGAACGAGGTTGTCAATATCATCTACTTAGATTCCCCTATAGGGACCGGTTTCTCTCACTCAACCGATGGATCTAAAGTTGATACCCTGGCAGATGTCGCTGTGGATGTGTACGCATTCATGCAAGTCTTTCTGAACCATTTTTCCGAATATTCAGCGGCCCCATTCCACATCGCTGGCGAAAGCTGGGGCGGCCACTACGTCCCAACAGTCGCCAACTACATATTCCAGAGGAACAAAGAACTCATTTATGCCCCGCGAAGAGGAATTCTCAAGATCAACCTTTCTTCAGTCATCTTGGCGAACGGACTCACAGAACCTGCGACTCAATTTGACTCAATTCCACATTATGCTTGTGACCCGGTGGCAGCTCCATATCCCCCACTGTCCCCTGATCGTTTACAATGCAGGCAACTGAATATCAGTCGGCCGACCTGCGTTCGGATGATTGAAGCATGCTACAAGTACCAGACAAAGCTTGTTTGCAATGCAGCAACAGACTTTTGCTGGCCAAGCATGATGACTGTCGCTCCAAGTAAGTTGCTAACCTTTTCGTAACATTCAACTGTTCTTTTCACTTACTCACACTTGCCTCTTTCCACCGCTGCTTATAGTGGTAAACAAGAACCCTTATGACCTTCGCAGAAGTTGCGATGAAGACGCGACAGTATGCTATATTGAACTTGATTGGGTTACTAAATACATGAACGACCCTCAAGTGAAAAAGTCGCTCGGCGCGCACGAAGAACAAGTCTTCCAGACATGTAATATGGATGTCAACAAGGGCTTTTACTACCAAGGACAAGCCATGCACAATTCTGCAGCTCTCCTGCCAGAATTGGTGAATAATGGAGTGAGACTTTTGGCATACGCGGGGGATACAGGTAAGTCATGTTATGGACTATATGAATAGTAGATTCACGCTCCGACTTATACAGACATGGTTTGTAATTTTATCGTAAGTGTAATATTCATACTACTAAACGTTATTTGTATAACTCTAAGGTTTTCCGCAGGGCATCGAACGCTGGATGGAACGATTGGAACATAACTTTCACAAGGAATTCGCCTCTTCGAGATCGCAACTGTGGACAATGAAAAGTGGGCGGGCGGTAGGGGAATTTAGAAGTGCTGGTGCTGGACATAAGCATGCTGGTAATGTCACATTCGTCAAGATATGGGACGGAGGGTGAGTTTATCGTTCTCCTACAATGTCAACAGCTCATGATGATAACATCCCCTTTTGATATCAGACATATGGCACCCCATGATCAGCCTGAAGCTGCCTTGGTAAGTTTTTCTCACTCTTCTTGTTGATCTTGGACTCACTGCCACTTCTATTCCGCCTATTACCTAGGATATGATCACGAAGTGGGTCAAGGACTCGACTTTCTCTGGCCACTAAACCCTTTTCTATAACTTTAACGCTTTGTCTATCAATCTACTACGTACTAAAAAATCCCATCTATCCTCACACTTCAACCGACCCACGAGCTTTCCTCGCCAATTCGTATCTACGGATCGAAAATTCGTCATCGAATTTCTCTTCGCGTCGAGTCGTAGCATATCTACACGTGCCGATAAACTCAGCCAGCGTTCACCCATTCGACGTCAATGTATGTGTATCTCGATAGCGAATGCCGGAGAAATTTCGTGACATTACAGTAACATGTCCGCCTTGGGGTGCTAGTACCGGATAAAAATATCTCTGTTTTTAATTCGATGACATACCCCCTCATCCCTGTACAAAAAAGAAGGGTCCTTGGTCTTGTGAAGAAAGCTCAACGCCCAACTTTAGAATTGAATTGTTATGTGATTATTCAGCCTGTGGCCCGATATTGTTTTCACGGAATGGAATGATGAGATGAGGTTACCAGTATCAATGCCAATAGTAGCAGCCTGTCTACGTGCCAATCTGTCTTTCAAGCGGTCGGCTATGGCTGTATGTAGAGTACAATGGAAAAGCGTCAAATTTAGCGGTAGAATTTCAAGAGTACCCTTGACAAACCTCTCCAGTCGTACCTTCGTAGCAACTTTTTCAAGCCAATGAGACTCTGTCTCACTGTCCCCCCGTGTTAGACCTTCTCGGTGGTGCGTTTGGAAACCTGTCAGAATGGTGAACGATGCTGTATATTCAATCGGCAGTTAGTTTGGTCGGTCGTGTCTTCTTGGCACAGTACGAACCTGGGTCTGGGAGGCGTTTGGAGGGCGGAGAGATGTGACATGACGGAGGAGATGGGGTTCCTGTGATTGAGACTAACAGAACGATAAATTCTCAGCGCTGATCCACGAAGAAACCCAAGTATGCCCGTGCTTGATAGCAACACGTTCAAGTATAAAGTCACCGATGGCCTGGGTAACTATTTCATCGTGCCTAACTATGATGAAAGGTACTACGACATAAGTGTGCATGGACCTGTACATCGAAGATGGCACACTCGAGTGGGAGACTGTGAACGTTTTGAGTGGGCAGACTTGATAAGAAGTAGGATAAAAACATGCCTGAAAACGCTAGCTGTGATCTCGGCTATCACGACTATGGATAGTGGTGGCGGACGTGCGAAGTCAATAAACACGGAACCTCATGTAGTACGATTGAAAAGACGTTGGTGCCGCTATGATGATAGTCACCCGACTCTCAAGCCTGTGAAGGTGGACATGCAATTGGTGGGCTTGTTCGACGTATAAGCAAACGAGGTGCTATTCCATTGGTTGGACGGTTCTAGGAAGGAGAAATAAAACTCGGAGCGCAGGTCGATTCAGCAGCGGAGTTGAAGCTTCCTTACTACGGGGAAGAACCCGTTGTGTATGGTCTAGTATAAGATATGATGGATTTGGTGTTACGTGTAAGACATATAAATCAGTGACATGATAGTATGACATGAGAACACAAATAAAGGAAATTAAGGGAACCATCAGAATGTTTCTTGGAAAACACGAATAACAAAACTGTCCCTGCGGAGAATAAAAAAATATGTTTGTCCCAAAACTACGAGAACAGCCAACAGAGTTCGCCGTGAAGGCAAAGCATGCACTCAACTCTACTGGGACGTCACAAACCTGATATTCTGGTGCCCATCCGACTTCATAACGAAGCCGAATGGCAGAATAAACAGACAGCGTTAATTTTCCATGACCGTAACAGACACGATGCGTGAGCGAAAAGCGCATGATGCCTTGACTTGGTACATGGGACAGACAAGAACATCATACGATACGCACCTTCATAGGTTCCAGTGTAAACACCTCGATGTGTCAGTGCTAGTGAGAGCATTGCCCAAGTTCAGTGTGCGAGGATCCAATCCTTGCTTGAGAAAGGTGCACAACAGACAATATGATAGATTCAGAAAGAATTCGGTATGTTGTATTTTTGGAGGAACGAGTTGGACATGACAAGCAGCAAACAGAGACCCACAGAAAACTTTTTCAAGGTGTTTATCGTGGGAAATTGATGTGCACGTTCCCAATTTAGTAGTCACTCTCCAAGAACGCATTTTGAGCGAGCTATCATGATCGTGAGTTTTGCATACAATGTTGTTTACGGAGATAGAACACTTCTACAAAGTATGCCCATCATCTCAACCGGTCGCAGAGCTTATATCACTGGAAATTTATCGGTGACTGCAATATCAGATAATGATTAGAATGTCGAAAGCTTGACTTCGAAAGAGAAAACGCACATGCATAACAAATTCTTCTGTCGTAAAGTCACACACGCTCAACGCCGTGGTGCTTGTAGATCTTGCCTCCTTTCATGACAAACGAAA